AACAGCCTTGATGGATGCAGCTCAGAATGGCCACTTGGAAGTGGTGCAAGTGTTGCGCTCAAAAAGAATCAATCTGTTTGGGATGCTGAAAGCATTCTTCAGAGTAGAGCTGGTACAACTTCAACTACCAGTTGGCTACAGTTTTAATCTATCTTCATGAGCTGCTCATGGACACTTTCTACCTCATAGGCCCATGCCTTCATCATGTAGTACTGTAGCTCGTGGAGAGTTTGGAGGTCAAGCCATGGATATTCTGCATGGCGATCTCATGGACGGTGTGTACAAAAAGGATCAAACAGGTCTAACGCGGTGGAACGGGGGTGTTGTTGCAACTCTGCGCACATCAGACAAAAGTGGCCTGAAACATGGTTCACATGGGGCGACCTTATGACACACAAGTGGAAGTTGATCATAGATGTTCCACTCAAGCCGCATGTTCCACTCGAGGTATCACTAGATGTCATCCTTTTGGTGATGCTGTCACTGGTCGCACTACTGGCGGCCATCCTCATCTATTTCTACGAGGACATGCCCCAGTGAGGCAGTTTGGTTGGAAGGGGGTGCAGTTGTGTTGGGGCGGAGGTGTTCCTCCACATGGAGACATCCCAGAACTAATGAATCAGCACGTATGCTGCGATCTTTAGGCGCGAAGCCCAAAGACAATTTCGTGTGTAAGCCTTAAGTAGGCAACCCAGGACCCAGAGGCGTCAACAGGTTAGTCCTTTGGCTTCTGCGTTCCTTCCTCCGCAGAAGCCAGGCCTTGACGCCAGGCACCTCCCACGTGCAGTAATGCCTTTCGGGGAGCTGCGGCGATGTGATGTTCCCCAGTGACCAACTTATGAAACCGTCAAAGCGGACATTCAAAATCAACGACTTGGAATCCAGGCGAGGAGCCAAACAAAAGGAATACCCTCCTGCAGACGATTAACATGGACCCTGACAACCACTGGGTAGGGGTCCATTTTCAGGGTCCATGTTAGCCTGTAGGGGGGTAGTATTCCATGATTTAGTATATGTATAATCGGCATGCCATGTATTCAACATCAATTGGAGGAACTTGTCGATTCCCATCTCAGTAGAACGCCCATAGGAGATCGGCATTTATTCCCGTCCAAGAAGTTTCAGCCAAGTTGGTCCTGGTGGTTCGAAATGAAGCACACGAGGGAGAACCAAGTCCTTTAAAGAAACACCTTCCGTTTATGCTGTAGCCATTGGAGATGTTTACTGGGCCCTCTCCGTCGCCGCCAAACCACGAGTGCCCATCTCCCATGCAGCCGCTTGCAGGAGTTCCTCCGCCCAGAGCAACCCTTAGCCCTTCCGCCCACGACGCGGTCGCCGCGAGCGGTCGCGCCACAAGAGACGGCGGAGCTCAAAGCGAGCGGCGATGGCCAGATGCTGCAGACGCCGAAGGTGGCACGGGGGGTGGAAGGGAGGTTCTTTAGCCTCCAACGTATAAATTTCAACATCCATCAATAATAGCATTCAAGTATCCATGTGCTGCTCGCTCTCGGCACTCATTCTTTGTAATTACCTTCTTCTGGGCGAACACACGGCTCACCCTGCCAGGCCCGAGAAGACCTTCCAGAGCCGGAACCGGAGGGCACCGAGGGCGACGAGGGCGAGGGGAAGAAGTGCCTGGAGGCGCGACACGCGTTCGCGAACGCGTGAACGCTCAAGGCAGGTACTGTGAGGCTGGAGATATAGAGCTCAAGCATGGTCAAGAGGGCTAGGGCTGGGGGGTGTCTTTCCGCAAGGAACGAACCGAAAAAAGTGGCGTGATGTTTCAGACTGACACGCTGGTGCGAGCCGGAGATCTACTGTAGTCCTTCCCAAGGAGCTGCAGGGAGCTCCCCAACCCCAACAGCTAGCTTCAATTGAAGTGTGAAAGCAAGCAATCTTCTGAGCAGGAGAGGCCATCAAAATGGCAAAGGCGACTATCAGGTCCCAGGTGGTTATAGACGCCCAATGACACCCATTAACCTCTAAGGGGCTATTATTGGACTAACCTCAACTTAGGGTGCCCTGGTAGATGCTTCCATTTGATGATACTCCCATGCATTGGGCAAATGATGCAGCTTTGCCAGTTCAATTGAATCATGTCAGACTGAATTCTGAAGACCCGACTGAACAGATCAGGTTTGCAAGGTGAATTTATATCCCAGTTCCTTTCACCATGTTCACGAATCGCCCATGGCGCCCATGGATAGCTTGGCAGACTGAGTGGATAGCCAGACTGATTGGTGCCTCAGGTGACCTTGCAGCGACTTCCAGGTGAAGCTTGGGGCCTTTGTTGGCATCGGACCTCCTTTGATGAAGAGAGGCTTCGTATACGCGGGCGCGCGCATTTTCATGGCTGTGGTGCAGTTTCCT